CTCTCTCTCTCTCTCGTGTCTCTCTCTCTCTCTCTCTCTCTCTCTCTCTCTCTCTCTCTCTCTCTCTCTGGGGCTGATTAATCTTTGCTTTATTAGATGGAAACGCCAAAATTTGATCTCTTGCTGGCTTTTCCCTGTGAAAGATTTGATCTTGTTTTTGTCTGGACGTTGTTTGGTCGATAAATTTTTGGTTTTTTGTCAGCTTGTTTCGATCCATACAAGAAATTAGTGCATTCAATAGCTATTGTTAGTCTAGGTTTGTATGACTATCAATCGATTTTTTTTATAGTATGGATTTTGAGGTTTGGCCATGTCCTTGATGATTGATGAGATTATCCTCCTGAATAAAATTTACAATACTTAAATTATAGCAACTTTAGAGGGTTCTTGTGATAAAGAAGTATTCAGGGATAAGGCAAATATTAGCTAATCTAAAGCTTGTTTTGTTTGTATATCAAAACCTTTTCTTTAATTGATATTGTCATACCCTGGTTTAGTCCACCTCAAAATGGGAGAAAAATTGAGTGGTCTTATAAGAGCATTTAAGCTTAGGTATTTTGGAGCAGTGGTTTAGACTCAATAAGATAATAAGTCAGTTATTCCATCGGGCCAAGCCATGATAATGGGTATCGGAACCGAATAATTTGTGGGGACAATGAAGTTGTATCAGAACTGAATAATTTGTGGGGACAATGAAGTTGTATCAGAACTGAATAATTTGTGGGGACAATGAAGTTGACCAATTCAAGCTAAACCCAGGAATTCATCAGCTATATCATGTAAAAAATTACTATATAAAGTGAATGTGACAGAATCAAATCAGCAAGAAGATGACAGCAGTTTACGAGCTATGATGTACTTTGGTAATAGTATGAGAACTACGGACAGTTCCTGGTAGATAGATACAAAGAACAGATAATGGCTCTACCAAGAGCAGCTAAAAAGAGTTCATCTCCCCTTCTTGTTATCAGTATGAATTTTATAAACATTCAAAGTATGAGGCTGAGCTAAAAATGAAAAAAAAAAAAAAAAGTTTGCCTTATCATCTGTTTTAAATTCTATGGTTTCTTTATAATAGTAATTGCTTTCATTGTGTACATATGTTCAACAAATAGAAGGTTTACCCCAACCAGTATCATGGTAAGCATGATAGGTTTGTGGTCTTTGATCTCCTAGTTCATGTTAAGAAAAAGATCTGAATTAGTCATACTTTTAGACGCTAGATCAACATGCTACTTTTCTAGATAGTTGAAACTGAATGACAAGTGTAATTGGTTAGATGTCTTTGGTTGCTAGATCAGCATGTTCATCAAAAAAGTTTCTGGTGGGATCCTGTTTATATGTTTATCTTAAACCATACTTCTGTGACTGAGGAAACTAATGTGAGATGAAAATTCTAACCATGTGTTTCATCATATAGGGAAGATGTTTGTTCATTGAGTAGCAAAAGGACTGGAGCTACAAATAACTGTGCATGACCATTGAACAAATTCCTGGATATATACCATCTGGCTTTCTTGATAGGCCTTGCTGACAATATGTCAAACTTATAGATTCAAGGAGCACTGAGTTTGCAGCATTAATTGGTACAGAATTCATTGTAGGCATGATCATCTATTTTATATCACTCAATCATTAGAACAATAGGAATCCTAATCACAGGTTTCATTATATAGGGAAGATATTTGTTCTTTAAGTTGCAAGATGACCGGAGGATACAAATAATTATGTGGGACCCAATGAACAAATTCGTAAAGATATACTGTCTGGCTTCCTATATAGACCTTGCCCTACACTACCTTGATCTTCTAGATTTAAGGAGCACTGAGTTTGTTGCATTAACTGGTGCAGGATTTGTTATACATATGATTGTCTATTTTATATTAATTAATCTCTATTGAGTTTTTATTTGGCATGTCTTATGTATCCTCACAGCAGCAAAGGTATGCTTGTTCGAAATGAGCATGAATTTGAAGGTACATATGTGATCCATGTAAAGTGGCATAAAAATGTATCGGTTGTTTCTGTGATGTTCTTGAGCCCTATATCTACCTCACCAAATTATAGTGTCATGTCAGCTTAAGTACCCTGCACCTGGTGCACCCAAGCTGGCAAAGAGAGTGAGGGAGCTACTACAGAATGCTGGCTTCAGCCATGTCAAAGAGGAGAAGACCCGTGGGCTCGACCATGGTGCATGGGTTCCACTGATGCTTATGTATCCAGAGGCAGACATTCCTGTGTGTCAGCTTTCACTCCAAACAGAGAAGGGTCCGACATACCACTATAACATGGGGAAGGCACTAACCCCTCTTAGGGATGAGGGAGTCCTTATTATTGGGTCTGGGAGTGCCACTCACAACTTGAGTATTGCTCTTTTGGATGATGGACCTATCGAAAAATGGGCCCTGGACTTCGATACTTGGCTCAAGGAGTCACTGATAAATAAGAGGTAAGGAGCACCACCACCCATAATTCATGATGTTGATTTAGTTTCGAGAAAATGATGATGCTTTGTTTTCTACACCCTACAACTTTATGAATTGCTATTATCAAAAAGTGATCAAGTTGACCATGATCTTAACTGGCATCCTCATTTGTTCCACAAATTTGGTAGACATGATGACCTGAATAACTACGAGGAGAAGGCTCCTGACGCAAGAATGGCGCACCCATCGCCGGAACATCTCTATCCATTGCATGTGGCCCTTGGAGCTGCAGGGGAAAAAGCCAAGGCTGAGTTAATTCATCATAGCTGGACCGAGCGAACTCTTTCATACGCCTCATACAGGTTTACCGCTGCAGAATGAAGGGCGTCCAAATTGTTATATATAGCCGACAGGCTCATTTCAGTGTATTCAATCCAAACACCCTTTTGCTTGAATTGTAACATTAATAAGAAGCTTTTATCCTCCACAGAAATGTAAACTATCACATTCCAGTTTCAGGTCATGTGCCGATTATATGTAGTGTTGTGACACTCATGAAATAATTTATATTTTACAAGTCGCAAGATCATAGTTTATCAAACTGAAATATGATGAACAGGCACATCAGATTTGCCCACAAGGAAGAGATGTTCAAATGAGTAGAGAGAGAAAACTAAATCCAAATGTGTTCCTGTTTTTCTTGTTCAGATTTTATAATGTTCTTCCTTTCTTCTTTTCTAGTATTGCAGAAAAGATTACTTCCTCAACAGATTGAACATGAAGGTAATGTCAAGTCTACTACCTGATATATGTCACTAGCAAACTTACAGTGGTGGTAACAAGACATTATACACTTTTAGTGCCATTGCAAACGGGTAAAGAGTAATGCCATTTTGTTGCTTTGCCTTTTGTGCACTTGGCAGCTTCCTAATGTGATTTTGAATGTAAAATGTCATCTTGCTGTAAGTTACTACAATCATATTATATCATGCATACATATGAAAGCTATTAAGATTCATGTTTATAAGTTTTATGTTGACTATCAATTACTTACCGTAATTTTTCACCTTTTTCATCCGAATTTGATACCGACATCAATTATGTTAAACAAAGATTTAAACACTTTTAGTTAATGTTAAATAAAGATCTAAACATTTTACCATTCTTAATAATGACCCAAATATTTGAAATTTTTGTAATATTTCATCCAATATCATATAATATCTTATAGTAAGATTTAGACTTAGTCCTTAGGATGTCTTGTCCTCATAGAATTGAGAGCAATGAACTAATCATTTCGTCTTAATCTCTCAAACTCATTACCTTTTTTACTATGATCGTTTAATTATTAATTTTGTAATGTATTATATCAAATAATATATATGATGCTTATATTATAGACTCGCACATAAGATATATCATTTATATAATTGATAACCATTGGTGTGGCTCGGGAGCGAGTTTGCTCGGTCGAGATGCAGGTATCGAGCCCTCCTTCTAGCGCAAATTTGATAAGGAACCATTTGGTCAGTCGGCCAATGGTGCGACTCATAGGCTTGTGAGGAATTATCCGTTTTGACGATGGGCGTACTCGTACGATTTTATCCTTTCAAATTATATAAGCTCCAAAAGGTACCTTTGAGAATAAGAGAGACACGACGAACTTATAAGCCCTACTTCTCAATAATAATACATTAACTAACTAACTAACTAACTCGGATGTCATATATCACTTATATAATAATGCACTAACTAACTCGGATGTCGAATGTCTCAACAGAGTCGATGATGCTTACTTGTTATCTCGATGATCCAATACGAACACTGCTTTGTTGCGCAGTTTGTGGTTGCAGATCGTCAACTTGTGCTCACATTACCTGCATTTTTCACGTCAAGAATGCCGAGAACAGTACATTCTATCTATTATCTTCATCGGTCTTCGTTCTCAGCATCAGAATCTTCGGTCGGGTTATTGAGCTTGTCGAAGTTAGCCAGAGAACTGCTTCGGGTGTCCATTCTCTCTCGAGAGGAAACACAGCGAACCAATAAATGCAGAGTGCTTCAACTCCAAACCAGGTTGATGACAAGTGTATGGTGCAGTTCAGGCGCCTGCATCGGTTTCTGTGATGCATGCTCATGCACAATAAATGGGAGTGGAGATGGCAGCGCAAGGTGACATGCCTTTGGCCTTGGAATCATCCCTGCTTTGGTGAGATGGAAATGGAGGAGTCTAGCGAAGATGGCCGCGTTAGAACAGGTAATGTTGCTTCTTCTTCACCTGAATCCTCTTTTTAATTTGGTGTGGATCGTATGTTTGTTTAAGAGCATTAGTAATTGGAAACGGCAAAAGTTCTTTGGAAGACTTTCAGATTTCTTTCGTCCGATTCTGACTTTTACGCCCATGTTGTGTTTGATATTATGTCCTGCTTCCTTACTGTGTGAAGAAATTAACTTTACAACACAGATCTCAAACCAGCTGCTTACAGGTGAAGGATAAATGGTCTCTGACTTCATGTTCAACTTGAACACATCTGCATGACTAATTTTTCATCTTTGGCTTGCACTCCATCATTCTGCTTCCTTTTCCTATATCATCATTGTATGAGACGCCACCTCACTGTAATCTTGACAATCATAATAGTGTTACATGCTCAGCCCCCTGCATTCCTTCAAGGTTGGTTTGCACAGCGCTAATAAGACTTGGTGGAGTTCTCTTGGAAATCTGCCTTTAGTTGTGTTGTCATAAGTCTCTTATTTTTCAAAGGGAGTCTACCTTACATAAGCTTCCATGTGGGGTTGCTTCTATTTTTTGGACAAACTTATCCTTTAAGGTAACCTTGTGATTTTTTTGCTTCCTGGTGCAGATATCTAAGATATGAAAATAGTTTTTATTCCTCATTTAATGTTGCTTTAGTATATATTTTCAGATAATTTTAGAAATCAGACTAAATTTCTTTCGTGTACAAAATGATGAATGATAGATAAATTATATTTTATTAATGACATATTTATAGCATGAACAAATTTGTAAATTACTTTCTACATTAATCACAAAATTAAAGCCAGTCATTCTTTCACATATGGCATGTGTCAGTTTGGAATCTACCATTTGATTCATTACATGGAAAACCATCTTAGTTGCAAAACATAGCAGAGATATTGTATTATTGTATGCTTAAAAAAAAATAAAATATTTTTCCTGGAGATGAATACTCATGCTGCCATTGGATTTTCTATCATTCAAAATCAGGGAAAATATTTCTTTTACTTGACCATCTTGTTTGTAAAACTGAATCATTGTGAGAATAAATCCGGGCTTGGTTTAATAGGAAGGAATATTCAGGGATGGCGACCAGATCATGAATTGATTTTGAGCTTGTAAAAATGTCAAACTTTCTGCTATATTTGAGAACAGTATAGCTCAAGTCCATTTATCATCTGATACTCGTTTTGAACCTGCAGGGACTGTGTGGACTGCTACAGCTCATGTAATTACAGCAATTGTGGGATCTGGTGTGCTGACTTTGCCTTGGAGTGTTGCCCAGCTGGGCTGGATTCTGGGTCCTGTTGTCCTAGTTTTCTTTGCATTCATCACTTATTTCACTGCCACTCTCCTGTCGGACTGTTACCGGCTTCCTGATCCTATGAAAGGAAGGCGAAACCACACTTACATGGATGCTATAAGAGCATGTCTAGGTACTACCACTACACTAAATCAAAGAAATGATGTTCATATCCTTTGTAAGGATCTTTTCATTTTGACTTTATTCTAGGACTGTGTTATATCTGATTTTTGACTTGGAAGCTCCATGTCTTACCCCTAGAATCACGATAGTTGCTTGTTGAGTTTTCATCATTCAGGAATCATTAGTTGAGCAGAAAGTTAGAAGTATGACTTCTACAAGTGTAAGGGAAAACTGAGAGCTAATAATCAAACTATTTTAATTGTAATGTCAAAGTTGGTATCGCAAACCTGTTTCAACAAATCATGGTAAATTTAGTGCATTTTTGGACATATTTGGGAATAATTGGCTTAACACTAGACAGTCAAAAATAGAGGGAAACATAATCACTTAAATTATGTATAATAAAGTGTAAACTATATACTATATTCTAGTTGCTTTATGCTGTTTGTTCTTGCAGGTCGAAAGGATGTATTAATATGTGGAATCACACAATACAGCATACTCTGGGGAACCATGGTTGGATATACAATCACTTCTGTTATGAGTATGATGTGAGTATTTGTTTTTTTGGAAGAATCTAAATGCTTTTGTTCTTCTTCATTATTCCAAAGCTTTTTTATTTTGTTTCATTTTGGTGAATGCATCTATTTCCTAACTAATTTGTTCAAATTCATGTGGAGGGCCATTGATCTATCAATGTGCTTCCGCAACAAAGGTCCCAATGCTTCATGTGAGGTCTCTGGAACATTGTATGTTGTGATCTTTGGGGCAATGGAAGTATTGCTATCTCAATTCTCCAGCTTGGAGAAAGTCACAGTGCTTTCTTACGTTGCTGCAGCAATGTCTTTTGCTTACTCCTCCATTGGATTGTGTTTGTGTCTGTTGGAATTCTCTTCTCACCCGAAGTCTAAAGGGACTCTAACCGGGGTTCAGGTAGGAATCAGAAATGTTTCCTCCACCACCAAGATCTGGGATTCTTTCCAAGCACTTGGGAATGTAGCTTTTGCTTACACCTTTTCAATGCTTCTGATTGAGATCCAGGTATGATGTTATCACAAAATTTTTCTGATGATTATAGACTTCTTTTTAACTCATAAATCATCATGTTTCGTTCTCGTAAAGGCTCTTTCGCTCATTGTTTACTTTGATTGTTACCGATAATCTAAGAACTGGTCTTTTGTTTCCAAATGTTCAAGTGCATGAATACTGGTCATCATCTATTCATGACTCACAAGCTTATGTTTCTGAAGGATACACTAAAATCTCCCCCTTCGGAGAACGGTACAATGAAGAAAGCAAGTATATATGGCATTGGTTCGACGACATTGTTCTACATATCTCTTGGGTGTCTCGGTTATGCTACCTTTGGAAATGACACCCCTGGAAACATTCTAACCGGGTTTCGGAAACCAATTTGGCTCGTCGACATTGCAAACCTTGCTGTCCTCATACATCTTTTTGGAGCATATCAGGTAAGAGTCTACAATAAATTTTTGCTGATGTTGCTACAGATGGACAAAGATTCCGATGACAGATAATAGCAACTTGTAGCACAAAGAAATAGCTTATTGAAACAAATAATTTAGCCCTTTCCTATCAGCAAAGAATTGTTCATCTAGCTGAACAACAAAAAGATGTTCACAAGCATTTTCTGTGAAGATCAACTACACAAACGCAAATAACCAAAAAAAGTGATATTACTGGAAACTAAATTCAGTGTCTCGTAAGACCTAGTTGAAGATTACATTTCTACTTACTGAAGTTATCTCCTTTGTTTTCTTTCAGCTATTTGCACAACCAATCTTTGCCTTCTATGAACAGTGGTCAGCCAAGAAATGGCTCAATGCAGGCTTCTTTCAAAGGGTCTACACGCTAAACTTGCCATTCTCCAAATCAAGAAGCATAAAGTTCACACTCTGCAAGCTCATCCTACGAACACTCTTCGTGCTCATCACAACAGTGGTGGCGATGATGCTGCCATTCTTCAATGCAGTTGTTGGCTTGCTTGGTGCCCTGGGTTTCTGGCCATTGACGGTATACTATCCTATGTCTATGTACATGAACCAAGCAAAGATCAAGAGGAGGCAATTCAAGTGGGTTATGTTGCAGGTTTTGAGCTTAGTCTGTCTGTTTGTCTCGCTTCTCGCAGTCATTGGATCGGTTGCAGACATCATAGAACATCTCAAGCATGCTGAACTTTTCAAGATCAAACTCTAGTTCGATCAGAGAGTTTCATGAAGGCTATGGATGGCATAATGGTGGGGTGTATGGTTCATGGTTGGGTGTCGTCTTAGCAAGTATGCACAAGATGTGCAGTTACTGTCTTCCCAGTTGGTAAGAGTAATGTAATGCAACTTCTTCAAATTGTTAGTGTAGCTGCACAATCTACTGACTGTAAGTGTGGAAGCATAATAGAGTTTTCTGGTGTGAAATCTTGGTTTACCACCTTTTATTGATCTCATTGTGGGTAATAAGGGCTCAGATGCTGAAACTGCACAAAGTCAGGAGACATGCAATGCTGGACACCATAGAATTGATTCAGATGTATTAAATTTCAGCTCCATTTTATCATAGTTGGATCTGGTTAAAACATCTGAGTCAAATTGAAGAATATTGAGGTAATATTGTCATTCTTTTAGCAGAGAGCTGACAATGTTTAGCTTTACCATTCAACAAAAGATTTAGATGTTGACTCCACATTACTGATTTGTTATCCAACAAAAGATAGCTTGCACATACATTGTAAAAAATTGGCATTGCCAATTGATGAATGATGTGGTCTATTTCTTATGGCTTTGGTTCCCAAAACACTCCAAGCACAGCTTAAAACAAAGAGAAGTTTTCATGTACAAAGTTGAAACTACCTATGACACAGTCTAAAGAAGAAGTCAACATTTCAAATATTTAACCAAAACCACATGTTTTACTATTACCTTTATGTTGCCAGCATAATATGATTGAAGAGGATGGCTATTGTCAAATATATCTTCAGAAATGTGGGAAATATCATGAAGAAGATGGGCATTTTCTCCAGTCACTGTAATGATAGTATTGGAATCCTTCCTACATAGATTGCTCAAAGGACTATAAAGATAGCTACCCTGTATCTCACATCAATATTCATTTAGAAACCTGCATCTGTGGCAGCATATAAGCACATGAAACTATATTACATTGTAGACTACAGCTGAAAAAAACTAGGTTCATTACATGTATACAGATCCCAATTACGAAATCTAGACATAGTCCCCAAGTCGTTGATGCACGCAGATCCCCGATTGGTTCATGGATGTCATGAAAGACCTAAACAAAATACATGAACTGCTGAGACAAAAGGCTACCAATTCTTACTGGAACTTTTCCCAGTAGTGACAACTGAAGCAGGGTTGGCATCTGTAAGCATGTTGACAACCTCTCTCATGGTAGGGCGTGAAGATGGTCTCTCGGAGGTGCAGAGGATAGCAATATCTAGCACCTTCGCCATTCCCTCTGCTGCGAAACTCGACAACCTTGGATCGTAAGCCTCTGAAAGGTTTTGGCCTTTAAAGAGTCTAGAAATCCATGAGACAATGTCTTCTTCTCCGAAGTAAGGATCAGTTGGATAGCGGCCAGTTATCAATTCCAGCAGCACCACACCAAAGCTATATACATCACTCTTCTTGGTCACCCTAAGCGAACATGCTAGTTCTAAAGAAAAAAAGTAGATAAAATTTAGAGATGACCTTAATTTTCCATAAGCTCGAAGGTTTCAGAAGCAAAGCTGAAGGCAGTAATTGCATGTTAATAAAGATTTACATGAGCAGTGCTCCTATTTTCCTTAATTGTTGGAATAAAACGAATGTTGTTCTAGTCAAACTCAACTAACTTGGTAATCAAATAACCAAGTACAATATACATGTCAATTCAATTGGCATTTTGAAAGAAGTAGAGGGAGAAGCAAAGTAATCTACCTCACTAAAAATATAGCAAACACCTAAAGAAATCATCATACTGTAAATAAGACGCTGATGGCATATTCAGAACAATTAAATAAACAAAATACTGCATTGTTCATGAAAAGATTGTTGACGACTAATTTCAGATTCAGAATACAGTTAAAGGAACTAAGAATGCACATACCTGGAGCAATATAACCATGAGTACCAGCAAAACAAGTCCACTCTGATCCATCATCAACTGTGGCAATCCCGAAATCAGCAATCTTTGCTTCGTACTCTTCATCTAGCAGTATATTAGCTGATTTTATGTCTCTATGAATGATTGCTGGATTGCAGTCATGGTGAAGATACATAATGGCCTTTGCTGCACCCAATGCAATCTTGTAGCGCTCGTTCCAGTCCAACTCTGGCTGTCCACCCTTCATCTCCCGGCGAAGAGCTTGATAGAGATTCCCATTTGGCATGTACTCAAGGACAAGATACTTTGATTCCTCCCCGATCAAGCAAGCATACAGTTTCACTATGTTCCTGTGCCTGATCTTTACCATGATACCTATTTCGGCTGTTAAAACTCTTTCACTAACAGTATTCCACAATTTCTTGACAGCAACTGTTCCTCTGTTCCCGTTCAAATCTAATCGATAAACCTTACCCATGCCACCAGATGCAATCAAATTTTCTTCATCTAAATCTGATATTTCTGCACGATTCAGCACCATTGGATGGAAAGATTGAAGCAGCCACTTTGAATCTTTTTCCTCTCCTTCCTTCAAATCTCTTCTGTTAAAATATTTTTTGAGTTTCAAGTTCCAGTATCTCACAAAGCCTAGACCAAAAAAAAGCACAAACATTACCAGCAAGATGGTGAGCACAACAACTATAGGCTTCCTTGTTGCATCCTTGTAGCTATTGCTCGAACTACAAGATCTTAACTGTCTGTGCTTCTGATTACTTGTACCAATACAGAGATCTTCATTCCCGTAAAGTGCACCTTCACTTGCAATCAGCAGAAGCCCTTCCGGAACTTCTCCTGATAACTGGTTATCCGACAAATCAATGGAACTAAGCTTCAATGTCTGTAAACCATTAGGGATCGATCCAGTGATGAAATTATGTGAAAGGTTAAATGAATTGAGGAAAGCCAAAGAGGCTAGTGTTCCTGGAATCGTACCACACAGTGAGTTGTGTGCAAGGTTGAGGTCTACCAAGCTGTCACAGGTTCCAAGTTCTGATGGTATTGTTCCTGCAAGTGCATTCTTTTGCAAATGCAAGGATGACAATTGCTTCAGATTTCCAAATTGAGAAGGTATTTGACCAGAGAAGGAATTGTTAGAGGCATATAACTTGTCCAGCTGGGAAAGATTCCCCAGCTCTCCTGGGAGCTCCTCAGAGAATCTATTGTTCTGCACATACAGCTGAGTCAAACTGGCTGACATTCCTATATCGGAAGATATCCCTCCAATGAAGCCATTGTCAGCTATATCCATGATCACTGCCGACGGCAATCCCCAAAGTCCATCCGGAACTCTACCTGTGAAGCTGTTTTGACTAATCCTGAACCTAATCAATGTTTTGCAATTGTTATACGATTCTGGAAATTCACCTGAGAAGTTGTTGTCAAGAGCAAGCAAGAACTGCAGCTTGTTGTTTTGGCACAGGAACCTTGGGAAGTCGCCAGTGAAGTTGTTCTCAGAAATGTCGATCTTTTCAAGCGGCGAGAAGCGACCGAGATTGGATGGTAACTCCCCAGAAAAGCTATTCTGATACAAGGATAATGACACGAGAAACTTCAAATCTTCAAAACCTTGAGGGAGTTCACCTGAAAAGTTGTTCATGTACACATGGAAGACAGTTAACATCTTAAGGCTACCAATCTCAGGAGGAAGCTTCCCGGTGAACTGATTGCAGGAGATGTCGAATTCACGTAGTAGAGTGAGATTGGCAACCTCTGGTGGGATTACACCAGTTAATTTATTCTGGTAGAGCTCAATCTTGTAAAGCTTGCTCAAGTTGGATATTGCCTTTGATAATTGTCCTGAGATTTGGTTGTAAGAGAGGTCCAATTTTCCTAGTAATGTCAACTCATAAATGGAAGCTGGTATCTCCCCTTGAAGATTACATTTTGCCAAGAAAAGCCATGTCAAGTTCTTCAAAGAACCAATATTTTCTGGTATCTCTCCGGCATCAAAGTTGTTCCTTGCCAGGACAAGGTTAACCAGGCCCGATATTTTCGTCACCCAAGCAGGAAACTTTCCATCGAAGCTATTTTTCGACAGATCGAGAACTTGAAGCTTCTGCAGGGATGAAAGATCAGGCAGCTGGCCAGTCAAAAAGTTTGCCGAGAGATTGAGGACCTGAAGGTTTGTGCATTTGGCTATGGCAGAAGGAACAACGCCTGAGATGGCATTCTCCCAAAGCTCTAAAGTAGTCAAGTTGGGTAAGAGAGATATTGATGGTGATATCACCCCTGATAAAGAGATATTTGGAAGAGAGATGCCAATAACATGGCCAGAATCAATGTCACAGTGGATGCCAGTAAACTCACAAGAAGATCGAAGTTCACTCCAGCTCTCAAGATAATTGAAAGGATCCTTGAAGTGACTTTTAATTTCAAGGAGCACTTTGGTTTCCAGTGAAAGGGATGAAGAGATTGGAATGACAAGAAAGACAGGAAGAATGGCCAAGAAATTAAAGCAAACAGTTGATTTCAACATTGAGAAGATCGGCGAGATGAAAATTATAGTGAGTAATTCAATAAATCTCGACCCGAAGATTCTATACCTGTAAAATGAAGACCAGAAAATCTAATGTCAGAAAAGGTCTATATTCTCTCAAAAACAGAACTAAAGTTACAATCATCAGTAGGTGAAGCAGACTTAATTCTGCATGATGTTGGAGTACAATCAATGCATAAAACATCGAACACATTTATGTAAACAACTCTGGCAAGATTGTTCGACAAATTATTTACACCCCATCAGCAGATTATATACCGATGGCATCTCCTAAAGATCATAAAATTAGGCAGTTCCATGCAAATTATGCTTGCTTTGATTATGCAAAGACAGAATACTTGTACCATTCGCTAGATTATACTTCATTTCATTATCTTTTCTTCCTGCACTACCTCATAGGATGCTTGAATTATCTGAATTTGGCTATGACAGCATGACAAAACAATAGATTTGCATATGGTAATAGGTTGCAGCCAGATCAGGTTCGATTAAATCCTTACAACTGGTAATCACAAAGTCTAATGACTTTCAATAAAAATAACTTATTCCAAATCATACAAAGATAAATGTTTACTGGACTTTAGTGATTACAACAAAATATTCTTCCAATTGGAAGGAAAAGGAAGAACCCACCCACATCCCTTACGACTTCATTAATAGTGAACATATCCTACTCCCAACTGCAAAAATCAATGAAGCAACACCACCATTTCTTTTGATGAATGAGACAGGTTGTTCATTGAGACAGAACACTTGTTCTCAGGAATACAACAACAGAAATGATATATGAGCATGCGAACATAGCTTATGTCAAGGGGGAAGAAAGAGGAATTATTATTTGCTGAATACCCACCATAGATACCAAATATTAAGGAAGATTAAGGAGCAGGGACTTTATCACCCAAGAAGGAACGAAAGGAAGCAGACCTCAGAGAGTTGGCGAAGGGGAGATCAAGTTATCCTGCAGCGAAGGATGAGAAAAGTCTTCGGGTATTCTGCGGTCCTTCTTGCCATGAAGAGCAAGTGCGGGAGAGAGCAGACACTGTCGCAATTTGTGGTAAGGCAAAGTGAATGTTGGAATGGACTGAGAGAGAGAGAGACAGAGAGAGGGAGGCCAAATTAGCAGCTGGCGTAGCTTCGAACTATGGAAGACGGCAGCGGCTCTAAACGGTGTGTGTCCGTTACTGGCGCGGCGGATGGGACAGTGCGGGGTTTGGCTCCATATTGGCATCACACCATCTTCCATGGCAGACACCTCTCACACTCTCTCTCTCTCCCCCTCGTGCAGCTCTGCACATCAAACGCACACACACTCTCTCTCTCTCTCTCGTGTGGCTCTGCACATCAACACTTGCAAAGATGGTTCTGTGATGATCTGCAAAGCACTGGAGATGATCCGGACATCCTGTGCCATGCAATTTTGGGCAGTGATATGGACATCCCCCCTCTCTTCAATCCCCTTCATGTTATATATATATATATATATATATATATATATATATATATATATATATA